GGTTAGCTGGTACAATTTTGAATTCCCATCATCTAAGGATGCTTCCAACCAAATATGATTGATATCCTTGTCTTAGTTTCAGAAAAGAAGTCGCTTAAATTAATATGGCCAAACTACCCCCTTTAGACCCTGCTCCTTTGAATGTGCATCCATCATCAGAAGTCAGAAGTTTGCCAGCATCCCTTTGTTGTATAATCAAACATAATGGATCCAAAATATGTTCCATGTTTCTAGATGCTGAAGGAAACAAATAATGGCTGTTATCAAATAGTTGTCGCCCTGAAGCGTGAAGGGCACCATATTTGAAACAGATATCAATCCCCCAAGCCTTTTTTCATTACGTATATGCTAATTTATGTGCAGTCAGAGATTACTAAGCTGAAGAAGAGAGAAATGTAAATATGTTACATGTATATCATATAAACCCTTATCGCTGACCCTGTAGATAACATCACCTGCTGTGGCCATGCAGGTACACAGCTCATACACAACCTACTATCTGATCATAAATGGCCCATTTTGTGGTCGTGTGAACATGTGATCTAGTAAACTTTAGATCTACTCACCGAAATATTAATCTACAATTGACAGAAATCTTGTGATATATGTTGCGGGGTACATATACTGCTTGGATGGACTTTCTTGTATCTAAACCGTTGTTGTGTGCTGTGTTTTTGACAACCTGACATTGAATCACAAGGTGAGTGACTATTTCTGTGACATTTAAAAATATATTCTACAGCATAACTACCAACACAGGAAATGTGGAACCAATACTGCGAAAACAGGACTAAGTTAATACACCTGGTTTAGTGAAACCTCAATCTGTGACCGATTAAATCAATATTAGGAAAGATAAAGTAAACAAAAAACATTCTGCTCTTTTTCAAAATGGCCACATCGTTGTACAAAGGTCAAATTCCTTCCCGCACCAAGGGTCAAACTACCTGTTTTCACCACAAGGGGAGACAACTTGACATTTACTGCGAAGAATGTCAAGAACTAGCCTGTACCAAGTGCCTGTCTACTGTACATAAGAAACATCCTTTGTGTGACCTTAGTGAAATTAATCTCCAAAAGAAACAAGACATTCAAACTTTTATAAACAAAACTGAGAAAGCTGACATGGTACAAATTGACAAGTTCATCACTGCTACTGATGAACATCTTAAGGACAACGCCAGCAACTTTGAAAAACTTTCGCACCAGTTAAAGACACAAACCAACAAATTAAAACATGACCTTGACCTGTTTACAACACAGACTCTGTCTCTCTATCAACAAATGGACGAGGATAACACCAAGCTACTACAAACGTACAAACAGGACCTAGAAATGTACAGCACTCAGCTAAAACAACAAGTACAGGAATGTAAGATAGCACTTCAGCGCGGCTCTGACATACAAATCTACGACACAGGATGTGAGGTTCAATTTACTGTCCCACTCCCTGTAAAACCTACCTTGAGTACCGCTAGCTTCATTTCGAACCAAAATCATCAGGCTTACCTGGAACAAGCTTTGGGAATACTTAACATCTCAGGTCAAGGTCATGGTCAAGCCTTGCTAGATCATCATTTTTCTGTTGGGTCATCTGCTGGACAAGGACCACTCTCAACACAACATCAGCAACATCAGTCTAACCTTAAGGTTAGGGCATCCTCTACTCAACAGAAGTCTGAACCAAAAGAAAAGACACCATCTACTCAACAGAGATCAGAAAGAAGAAAGGACGTGACCAGTCCAGTGTATACCCTGTTGGCTCAGACCAAGGTGTTGGGGGAGTGGGAGTCTCCATGGCATATCACTTCTGTATGTCCCATCACTGATGGTCAGGTGTGGACCAGTTACTTTTGCAGTAACACCTTAACTCTCCTGGACAGGAAGGGCAAAGTAATACAGGAGGTTACACACAATACTAGGATCATAGACATAAGTCTGTCACCCAAAACCAACACACTGTGGGTCTGTGACAAGGAAAACAACATCACAGAGCTTGTGTCAGGACGACTAGTACACAGATTCAGTACCAGACAGACACCACAGTGTATCTGTATTACAGCTAGTAACCATGTCCTTGTAGGGATGGTCAAATATATCTCAAAATTTACCACTAAAGGTACATTGGTACATACTACATTGTCTGCGGGGACTAGGAAAGCATTAGTTTGTAGACCATACAGGATCTCAGAGTGTCCTGTCACTCACAATGTGGCAGTGACTGACAAGGATAGTAAAGATGATGGTGGTGAAGGGAAACCACATGTTGTTGTCATGGACACAGATTTCAAGGAACTATTTGTATATGATGGTGAAGTCCCACATACATATCAACCAACATCACAGTCAGGAGGTGAACCATTTTCCCCCCGGGGTGTGGTGTATGACAGTGTCGGTAATCTAGTCATAGTGGACAGTAACAACAACCGTATCCTACTCATCAGTGGGCGTGGTGAGTTTCTCAGGTTCATACAGACAGGTGACAACCCGCCTCAGGCTGTTGGTGTAGACAGGGAGGATGTCATGTGGGCAGCGTTTGGGTTTAACAATGTCAAAATCCTACAGTACAGTAGTGTGTGAACTGGACAAACTACTATGTGTTGATCTAGTAACCATGACAACCAACACTGATAAGGATAGAAATTGTCTACAACAATTTTAACAAGATTGTAATGTACAGACCTGAAAAGTTTTTAAAAAGCAAAGATATTTAATATACACCAACTGGTATATCAATTATACAAAGCAACCACTATACTCATTAAAAGTTAATCTCAACTGAATAAAAAAACAAGCACTGTTTGACAATAGTGTTTAAATTAATTGGAAAAGCTACTCAGCCTCAAATGATATTTTTAAAGACCATATTCTTTAAAGTTAAGTCTGTTTAAGCTGAAGTACATATATTTAGAAAAAAATGGTGTTGTAACTGTAAAAAATGTCGGAGTGTTGATAAAAATTCTTTAAAATCTTAAAATGTTGGTGTTTATTATTGAATTGATGCTCACAAAGTCGCCACACCTCACCCCTGGGCTAATTCGCCCGTTATCTATGCTTGGTTTAATGTCTCATGACCGCAGGTGATATGTCACGATGGGTGGGAATTTTAGTGAACGTTGGCCACATAATTAGACCGCTAACGACCATTGTAACGTGCGGGCCATCACCCATCCAACTACTGACCATGCTCGAGGTTGCTGAACTAGTGAGCAGGTCCCCCCGTTATACAGCATCATTTGAAAAGATAGCTTGCCAGTTAGGCAGTATTTCCCCCTCAAATTCCTTAACTGTTAAACTATCCCCTTTAACTTACTGAACATGCTTGATGTTGCTGAATTAGTGAGCGGGTCCCCAAGTTATACCGCATCACTGGAAATGCTAGCTTTCCAGCAAGACTTCCCCCTCAAATTCCTAAGCTGTAACCCCGTTTATAACAGGTGGTCGCTGAGACCGTTTTGACTAAGTAGAAGATATTTATATTTATATTTCCGTAATGAGAATTCGCAAAAACATAAGTTATGTCTTTTCCAACTTTCAAATTTCCCACTTATTACCGTCAGGTCAGGTCAATATCTAGAACGGCAAATATAACAGCTGACGTCACGTGCTATTTACCAAACAAAATTGAAAAGGCTCCGCAACTTTCGTTAATAATTCATTTGCTTTTAATTTATATACATATCATATTCTCAATTCATAAAATAGTAACAAATAACATTTTATAAGTAACTAATCAAGTCAGTAATCAAGTGTCGTAAAACATTTTCCGATTTTATTGCGACCTATATCCGGCGCACGAACTCAACGGAAGTCCGCAGTAATCAGGTCAGAGTTATAGTTGCAGTCCGGCATATGCATGTTGATGTTGATCGTGCAACCAGAGAAGGTTGAATTGGTGAAAAATCCAGGCGTAAAATTGTTTGTTGATCTCACAGACACTTGAGACAGGCAGAGCTGGTGTTCGGGATCAAGGCAGAAGATACCGATAAGTTTGGTAATGACACGGTTAAGTCGGTCGGGGGTGCAAAGACCAACTTCAGTTATAGTCTCATAAGATGAAGCTGCTATTGGCAGTACTTAAGTAGTAATATAGAAGGGCTTTGCCACACCAAATGTAAATAACTAAACATCAATAAAGACATTCACGTAAGCCTTACCATGTTGACATCAGAGATGAAGTACGAGGACGGCTGGTTGAAGATATACTCCATCACAATAGGATGTATCAGATAGGCGCAGTACGTCAGACGTCCCAGAGGAGCCCACGCGCTCCACGACAGGAGAGAGTTTACCAGACCTACAAGTTAATTGACAAAGGTATGAAAATCGAAACAAGTTTTCCCAGTTTTATATACATTAATAAACTTCAGGAAAAGAGCAATGATTATTTTATATAACTCGGAACTTACCCTGGTCCACAGATTTCATATTGATGCTTGCTTTTTCATTTTTACTTTAATGATTTTTGAACAGCTAGAAGTCATACCCGAATGGTGTCCAAAGACAATGTAGCTACTCAGGATACACTTAAAAATAGCACCAAACTTAATGGATAATCTGAACCAAAAAAATATCTAGTTTGACTTTTCCAAATTGGTAATGTGATCCTTAAAGTGAATTGAGTTGGCTCTCATCATTTTATTTCAGACCATTATATATATATATTTCTGCTGGTATTAGACAAACCATAAATCCAGTAATCGAAAAACATTCTAAAACCAACTATGGGCTTCAATTTTTCATGCAGAAGAAATAACAATTTCCCTTAAAATGCTTCTCAAAGCTTAAGAATGAACCAGTTTTCAACGAACCATTTCCTTAATTTGATCATTCCCCTCTTACTTTGAGATTTATTTTCTGTTCATTTATGGATCCCCGTACCACTACGTTATAAAAATGTAATTAAGTATTCGTAACTGTTTTTCAGCAGGACTATAGCTTTGATAAATCATTTCTGAAAAAAACCCATACCAAGCAGGACTTGTGGAAAAAAAGCCGCAAGACTAGACCAGGGTTCGGACACAAGACTTTAGATTGTTATACTAACACTCTAACTGACCTCATACCTTTTCACGTCCGATCGGAGAATCAAACCCCCACCAGGTGGCCAGGGTTCGATTCCAAGATCGGAAGTGAAAAGGTATGAGGTCACCTGCCCGACCACATGGGTTTTCTCCTGGTACTCAGGTTTCCACCCACATTAACCCTTTCACCCCTATGTAATTTTAGTAGACTCTACCATGCATTGATATGGATGAGCCCATTATGGTATACAGTGGTGAAAGGGTTAAGACCCCTGCACACTAACATCCGGGCCAAAAAGAGTTATTAATATAGGTTATATAACCTGTTGTAAAATAAATAAAGTTTATAACTGACTGAGCTAGCTTGTCAATGGAAATATCCTGGCCCAAAATAACTGTGATGCAGTTATATCCGAATGTTACATAAAGGGAGATAACTGTATATATACGAAAACTTTAAAGCTTTGTCTATTAGTACAACCATCACTAATTTTATCAAAGTGTAACTAAACACAGTAGGAAAGAAATGATTAAATAAATCTAATTCTTCTTAAAAAAATATTCATTTAAACTTTATGAAAAGATTATCCTTTAACCTTTTTAACAACCCTTTCCCTCAGAAAATTACAGCTTCCCTCCTATCCAACTACCATTTTTTCTTTTTTTTCTCACAGAATGTAAACCTTTGATTTATCTTATATAACCTTATTTTACATTGGTATTCTATTGACATCATAAGTTATGCAAACATAGTGTAGTTTAAAGACATTGTCTATTATTGGGGTTTCATTTTGTTTGGAATTCAACCCCCATATCCCTTAATATCCCAATTAATTGTCAGGAGAAAGGTTTTCAATCCCAGTTTACAGGGATTTATCGGTGAACGAGTTAATGGTGGAAATGGAATGTGTCAGAGTTTTCACGATAATTGAAGTTATTACGAAGTATAAAGTTAATCTATCGTAAATTACTCGTGATATATTGAGTGGACACTGTTTCAGCAATCGATTAAAGGGGCATAACCCAGTAAATTACAGCCGATAATGGTGGTTATCTTACTTGTCCGAGCCACTCTTGGTAGTAAACCTTCCTATGACGTTTATAATTAATCTGTTGAAAATTATTTGAGATATCGAGTGGACACCGTGCCCACCGACTGACCCACTAGCTCATGTGATAACATAATATGTCTGGTATCTCGACGGGCGTATAAAAAAGCAAATTCCCTGAAAACTTAGAGTGGCGTTACAACTACATTAAGAGGAGGGGTCCAATCTTTCTATGTAAGGGAGATAACCTGAGTTACAATCTTACCTCCATATCCAGTAGCACAGGCAAATACAACCCAGGCCAGGGCGAGACTCCACGCAACGCGATTGAAGGCCAAGTAAATCACACTTGTTGCCAATGATGCATTGTAACTATTGTGATAGTAGTCATAGAGACCATATACAACAGACAATCCTGTCGCTATGGCAACAGCCCATCCAAGCAAAACCTTCCCCTGTAATGAAGAAAAAATGAGAAATTATATGTTTATTATACACAGAGTCCTGATGATATGAAAATTGTGATGCTTTCAAATTCTTTTTCTGTAAAATAAACTGCATGATTTGTGTTGCTATCTCACAAACTTTAAATTAATTGATATCATTTAAATATTGATTTATACATGTATACATATCATTCAATTTTGTATAGACTTTGTGCATCAATAAAATTATTAATATGCTGAGTAAAACAAGGCAAACGAAGCTGACCATCCCAAATGTTTTCAAGACTTGCAGCAATCCTCAGTGTATTTACACCTAGCTCTGTTCCTCATTACCCACTATTATGTAAGGTAATGGAGCCAATGTCAGGTGTAGGTTTGTGGGTAGGTCATGATCAGTGGGGCACTTTACTTTGAGTAGGGATACCAAAAGGTATTGTAGGGATACTCATTGGTTAGATACATTGTGGGGATACTCATTGGTTAGATACATTGTGGGGATACTCATTGGTAAGATACATTTACTCATTGGCTAGATACATTTCGAGATGCTACATTGTAAGGGTAATTTTAGTGTTAAATACATACAAATATTTCCTGGATGCACATAACATAAAAATGAATGTAAAATGTGTCCATGAAAGGGTCTAGGCCTCGTGTTAACCCGAAATTTAATAATTATTTTGCAAAATTTGTGGACATTTTCATGAATTTGGTTAAAAAGTCTATGCAACAAACATTATAATAACAACATGTAAAGAAAATGGATTTCATCACAATATACTCAAATAATTTAATCTTGCTTGTAACAAGCATTTTCATTGGCTTAAAAAATTATGTTATCAGCCCATAACGTAAAACAATTACATCGCTGTTTGTAACTTCACTTTTGATTGGCTGATACAGCAGCGCAATAGTTTCTAAGAGAAAAGAGTCCATCAATAAAAGTGGATTTCCACCGGGATTGTGTAAAGTAGATTAAATTATAAGGATTAATTAGAGTACACTCCGTTTTTTTGTGTTATAGCTCCATAACATGAAAAATATATTCAAGTTAATCCTTAAGTATCACCAATAATTGTCCTAATGAAGCCTCAATTTTAGAGGTGAAACTAGTCAACCAAATTAACTTTAAAAACCACTTATTGGTGACCCTCGAGTATGTTGTGATGAAATCCATTTTACATCCCCACAATGTATCGTACCCAGTAGTGTCCCACTATGTTACTTATCCTGTAGTGTCGTTAACAATGTATCAAATATACATAGCTTACCTTAGACATCCTCACTCTGCAGTCTGTCCTGTGTAGAACGTAGCCGAGGAGCATTCCCACGATGTAGGGAGCGATACGTGTGTACATCTTGTTGTAAAGCGGGGCGTGCTGGCCATAATAGTTATCTGTGTGCTTTGTCACTGTTTGGCTGAAATCATCAAGTTAGATTATTAAGGATAGTGAGCAGTTGATCCTGACTGTGAATTTGTTTTGTAACTTCTTGCACAAGTAAATGCTAAGTTTGATTTCAACACAAACAGGAACTGGAAACTTATTTTTCAAAGCTTTGTAAAACCTCTGTTCCTTTCTCAAACAAAGAGTGTAATATCTTCTATTTTACACTCTTGTCTTGACAAAGGAACCAGACGTTCTAGAAAACTCACAAAATAAACTTTTATTTCCTGCTTGTGTTCAAAACAAACATAGCATTTATTATTCTTACCCAAGTGATGAATATCATTCCAAAAATCCTTTCCAAAAGATTTGATTTTCTACAGTACCCAGTACTTGTGGAACACAATTGCAACATACCAGTCAATAATTTGTACGTACATGGACTTGGTTGATTACAATTGATAGTTTATTGGTAGATATAAAATACTTACCAAAAAATACCAATTTGAAAGTTACTTTTAAAAATGTTCCTGGATATATTCTTGAAAGAGTGAATATTTATTGGTTTCCGATTGAATGTCATCTTTATTTCGTTAGTATGGCTGAATGCCGATATTTTTTCACAAGAATTGAGTAAAAATAGTGGTAAATACTAATTGCCATACAAGTAAAATATGTACATGGTACGGTAACAGCAAAATCATTACATTTGCTATTTATCACTATTTTAAAACAACCTGCATTGACAAAAATGTACTGCATCATAACAGTTGGGGATTTGATACTGTAACCCTTGGTGCCATAATTATTCTGAAAATGGCATGTGTGACAACAACCTGTGCTCACTTCGGAATGAGCTACTCAACACAATCATAATATTTTCCGCTATTATTCGGTAAGATTTACATACAAAATGTTATAAATTGTGTAGGTAAATAAACGTCTTAGTTTATGAAGTAAAAGTGTACTAAAACAACCACTAATTCTATTCTGGAGTCATCTGTATCTAAATCGAAAAAATCAATGAAGTTAATAGAAAGAACCTTTCTGATTGGTCAATACCAAAAGATATTTTCTCACACTGTGACAAATATCAATTGTGATGTCTGTCACAGTGTGAAAGATATCAGTTTTATTAAGTTGATAAAATTTAACATCTTACGGATAAAAATGTAATACAAGAGGCCAAAGAGGGCCTGTCATCGCTCACCTGAATATTTAAGCAGTCATAGCAAAATATTCTCATTAAATATTATATTGCACTAGAAATATTTCCCTCATGAACTTTGTTGGCTCCATCTGTTGAAACTACCAGCAAAATATTAATATAAGATTCTATGCTTTTTTCTTCTTCTTCAGAAGTTGCTTGACATATTTTTACCTGTGACCTTGTAAGTAGGTCAATGTCATTTTCCTTCTCAAATTAGTTAGCCCTATTCCAAAATGCTACAAGCCGAATCTTGTGAATCCATTTCTTTCAGTTCTTGAGAACAAATCCTTTAAAATGTTGTTGACCTCTGTGACCTCTTAAGTAGGTTGAGGTCATTTTCATTCGCAAACTTCGATGAGCTCTATCCCGGGAAGTCACCAGCCAAATATTATAATTTCATGAATTTTAATTCTTCAGAAGTAGTTTGAACGTTTGACATATTTGAACGCTGTGACCTTGAAAGCAAGTCAAGGTTATTTGCATTCGCAAACTTTGTTTGGCTCTTTCCCAGGAAATAACCAGCCAAATATTAAGGTTCTATACCTTCCACTTCTTCAGAAGAAGTTGTTCTAAGCGTTAGACATATCTGACTCCTGTGACCTTGAATGTAGGTCAAGGTCATTTTCATTTGCAAACTTTGTTGGGCTCTTTCACTGAAAGCTACAAGCCAACTATTTAGGTTCTATAACTTTCAGTTCTTCATGAGAAGATGTTTTAAGCATTAGACATATCTGACTCCTGTGACTTTGAAAGTAGGTCAAGGTCATTTTCGTTTTTCAAACTTTGTCAGCTCTTTCCCAGGAAGCCACCAGCCAAATATAAAGATTCTATACCTTTTAGTTCTTCAGAAGAAATCGTTTGAAGCATTTGACATATTTGACTGCTGTGACCTTGAAAATAGGTCAAACTAATTTTCATTCTCAAACTTCGTTGGGCTTTATCCCAGGAAGCCACCAGCGAAATATAAAGATTCTATACCTTTCAGTTCTTCAGAAGAAGTCGTTTGAAGTGTTAGACACATTTGACCCCTGTGACCTTAAAAGTAGGTCAAGGTTATTTTCGTTCTCAAATTTTGTTGGGCTCCATCCCAGGAAGCCACCAACAAAATATGGAGATTCTATACCTTTTCGTTCTTCAGAAGAAGTCGGTTTTAGCATTTGACATATTTGACTGCTGTGACCTTGAAAGTAGGTCAAGGTCATTTTCGTTCTCAAACTTTGTTGGGCTCCGTCCCAGGAAGCCATCAGCCAAATAGGAATATTCTATACCTTTTTGTTTTTCAGAAGAAGTCGTTTGAAGTTTTTAACATATTTGACCCCTGTGACCTTGTAAGTAGGTCAAGGTCATTTTCGTTCCCAAACTTTGTCAAGCTCCTACCAACAAAGTTTTCAGCCCAATATCATGACTCTAAGCCTGTCCGTTCTTCAGAAAAGTTGTTTAAAGGAAAAGTTGACGGACGAGGATGGCTGGCCGATGGCCGGCCGACGGATGCCGCACCATGACATAAGCTCACCTGCCCTTCGGGCAGGTCAACTAAAAAGTGTTTATGTAATAATTCTTATAACTTAAAGCAAGGACATTGACTCCACATACAGATGACATCTCTTTCCGTCAAGTCACTAACCCTTTCATCACTGTAGACCATAATGGACTCATCCCAATAAATGCATGGTATAGTCCACTAAAGTTACATAGGGGTGAAAAGGTTAAATACACAGATCAAGCAGGAAGTTATAAAGTAAATAAGGATGTAATAACAAAACACTTACACTGGCACATGCATTCCAAATTCGAAAGCAGTCATCGCACGGATGAATATACAAGCTCCTATCAGAAATCCACACACCACAAAGCCAATTTTCCGATACCTGGAGGAAAAAAAACAAAGAATATTGTTAATACATTGCTTCCTTGTATGAAAATGATACAAAACAGGAAATTAGCATGCCAAAAAGGCCAGCAAAAGTGACATTTGTAATATTGGTTAACTTATTCACAAACTTCAAATAAGTAAGAAAATTAACCCTCTTCTACACTAAATGGCTATAAATATGTATAAGCAAGCGATTCGGATTGATATGTCTCGCCTGTGCCTCGCTTTAACCATTAAAGCATATTTTGTGAAATAAATTCAATGTAGACGGCATTTGAAATGATATGTCTCGTGCCTGACTGGTCCAAGTTTGGTTGGTCTAGCACTTATAGTTTCAGAGAAACTAACTTAAACGCAAAAGCTCAATGTTGATGGAGATGATGACAAAGTCAATGGACCATGAAAGGTAGGCCACATCCAGCATTTGGTGGATGGGTTGAGATGTACTCCCTAAGATGCATCTATGGTTAATGTTTGGCCTAGGACTTATACTTTCAGTGAAACTCATACCCGCTAAATGACCCGCATCTTGCGGGTTACACCCGCAAAATGAACCTATCACCCGCGACCAACTCATGACCCGTGCGTGTCATACAAATCTCCCGCATTCCGTCCACATGACCTGGAATCACCCGCCTCTGCGCTCGTATTAGTATCTCCCTATTTCCGGAAGTGCTCCATTCATGTGTCTCGGAGGTTTAGCATTCAGGTATAGGTATAGTCCGTACACAATTCGAAATGTTTTCACAATGGCGGTCTCTCTTTCGTGGAAGCCAGGCAAATTTGAACGGTGAGTACTGTTTACTACAGTATTACAACAGTGCATGGAATCCCGTTAGTACTTTAATCGGGTCAATGCAATTTGCAAAGGGGCACACTGTCGGATTGACCAACAGTGTTACCGCATACCTCATAGCTGATATTGGGCCCTGTCACGGGGAGACTATTTTCATACTTATCAAGGCACAGGGTGACTGTGCCTATTGTGTGGATTATATCCATAGCCGTGGTGTTCCTTGGGGAGATAAGCCCAGCAAGACTAGAAGCTGTGGTTATTGAGGCCTAAATCAAACACTGGCCTCCACCACTAACCTCATCTCCAAATGGGTACGGTAGGACTGTACTTCACATATTGTTACTGTGGTTATAAATGCAAAGTCGTTATTTAGTAGCTTAAATTCTGAGCACATTACTGTCTCAACGGCAGATCATGATTATTTTAATTTACCAAAATCTGCATGATAATGCTTTCCGATATCGATCGCGAGATTGCTTTGAAATTTGTTGCAGTCATACAAATTTGAGTGTACCAAGATATTATTATACCAATATTATAAATACAGGTCTGTTTTTAACATTAAATGCATATTTTATTTTTTCCAGTTTCCAACCTGCAGGCAGTCAGATTCCCAATGTAGTACATAAAGATGAGGGAGAGAAATAGATAGAGGAGCCTCTAGATGAGTTCATGCTCCCAGTATGCATCAATGATGAAAGATGCCAAGTTTTCTACAATTAACTCAAACTACCTGTACGTACAGGGAAATAAGTATTTTGAAAAAAGAGAATGTAATAAAACAAAATGTGTGAAAAAATTTGTTTTATTTATTTTAAAAAAAAAGTCCTAAATCCTACCAGAAACCACAACATATATGTTATGCCGTGACGGCACGAAAATTATGTGATTAATTCTGACGTTATTTTTTGTCGCGCGTTATCACCCCCCACAGAATTTCCCAATGGGGTCATGACCCCCATTGGGAGATTCAGGGGTTAGCAGGTCTAGAAACTATTAACTTAAACGCAAAAACTTTACGCTGAACCTGCCGCTGCCAGAAAAGCAACACCTAATTTGTCTCGCTTACACTTCTTCATCGCGGCGAGACAAAAGCTATTATCTAAACTCAATAAGGGCAGTCTTGGACAGGAATTGTAAACTGGTCCTAGAAAAGACTAATTAATACAACAACGAAAACTGTCGAAAAATGTTTCAAGTTTAAAAAGACATTGTTTTCAACTGCTAAAGAAAATTTAGATTTTGATAAAGTTTGTTTTAATTCTGAAAGCTACGATACAGTGTATCGTAGGGAGTATCAACATCTAATACCTTGGCTGAAGGATCTATTATACAGCGACAAGAAATCGTGAATCCAAACACGGACATACAGGAGAATGAGAGGAGATATAATTAACGTCTATAAAATTATGAACAATTTTCATGACAACAAAGATAATGCTGGCAACTTTGATTACGATTCAATATCCAGAACAAGAGGACATACACAAAGATTACATAAAGAAAGAAAAATCAATGTAAGTTAGATATAAGGAAACATTCATTTAGCTACAGAACTGTTGATGTATGGATCTGAACAGTCTTCCCGAGGCGGTCATACAGGCTACAACAATTAGGGGCTTTTATAATTAGTTTGGACAATCATTAGAAACATCTTGAACTGAAATTTTATCACCTAGCTAGCTACAAAACTAACAACAGAAGTGACTTTTCAATTTTTAATTTAGATTGTTAATTTATATGATATAGACATAGAGGCAAGTACTTGCCTGAATCCATCATGTATCCCATTAAATCCTACTTAATCTGTCGATACATCTAGGATGTAATAATAGAGTATAGATGGATTGACAGACAAGGCCAGTGTCTGTGGTAAAAGTCTAAAATAAACAAATTACATGTTTTATGACTGCTTTGGTTTGGTTTGTTTGTGTTTTACGTCTTATTAACAGCTATGGTCATTTAAGGAAATGCCAGGTTTTGGTGGGGGAGGAAAGCCAGATCTCTCGGAGAATAACCACCGACCTCCAGCCAGTACCTGGCGACTACCCAACGTAGGTCTCGAACCCGCGACCCAGTGGTGGAGGGCTAGTGGTAGCAGAATGTCAGACGCCTTAACCACTTGGCCACTGCGGCCCCGCAACCCAATGGTGGAGAGTGCGGCCCCGCGACCCAGTGGTGGAGAGCTAGTTGTAGCAGAATGTAAGACGCCTTAACCATTTGGCCACCGCGGCCCCCTTTTTATGACAGAAATCTTCTCTCATTCTTGATTGCTAAAACAGAATAATAATCCATCATTTCAGGATAAAACAATATATTACTGCTCTTATTATTTCATCATTTCATTTTTTCCCCTATGGAAATAAAATGTTGCTCATAGTATAGAATCATAGACAAGGAACATTCTGAGTCGCTATTACAAAATAAATTCTGACCAATCATACTCACCGATACAACAGTATGAGGATGAAGGGACTGATGATGTAAAACTGCATATCATTGGCTAAATACCAGGACCATCCCATACACTGGATAAAGATAAAAGAGACCGATCATCATCAACAAGATTCACAAGAGTTCAGATATAAGTACTAAAGTTTAATATTTGCACATCAGAAAAATAATGTACATATCAACTTGTCACAACACGTCCAGACCAGTATTACTCATCTCTTTATCAAGCGAAGCCTGACTGAGCTAAATCTTTGATACAGGTAAACTACCAAAGGGATAGAAAGTAAAACTGTTAATCACAACACATGATAAACGTAGGAGAGAGCTTTCAATGGCTACTGAAAATCTTGGTCAGTGGATTTGAGATAGAATATTGTATAGCGGTTATATTTCGCGGGAGTTTTAATTTCGCTATATTCGTGCTTTGACTAATATCAGCAAATTCTAGACACCAGCAAAATTATCAAAAATAATAACCACTTTAACCGACCTTATAACAACATGTTGAAAATACTTATAACCCAACGCTGTCATGTAAGCTTAAATAAACTAAAATAAGACTATCACCGGACAGCTGCTTGGGCAGTCCATGTAAAAACAACACTCACATATAAGTGGCCACAGCATATCTATGTGAACAGTAGGTGATTCATTGATTACTGTTTACTCCTGCAAAGGTACATACACATTTGATTTACTTTTGAGTGAAGTAACTGGGGAGGATCAGTGTCTTCAAACAGTTTAATTACCTGCATTTCAAGGTTTAACCCTTAAATGATCACACTCAAAGTACTTTGCACGACACATGGAATTTGGGTGCACAGCGAAATATGTACTGAATACGAAACCGCGAAATAATGAGCCCGCAAATTTAAAGCATTATATACAGTATCACTTTTCTTGTTTGTGTTAGGTTTTCATTTAGAGTTTTTACACAAAACAACATGAGAAGATTGTGATAGACTAACTACAGTACAGTTAAAATGATGACATCTAAATCTGATGTTGTATTCCATATCATAAGATGAATTACAAATGGTAAACATACATACGGACAGACGAACAGACTGCTGGACAGACACACAGACAGACACCCTAATTTCAGTTTACCATCATTTAATTTGTTGAAGAAAATCTATAACATATAAACCATCTTCAGCTCCGGCTGTATGCTCCCCAGGGAGTTGAGAAATGTACCGGCTGTATGCTCCCGAGGGAGTTGAGAAATGTACTGGCTAGTTGCAAAGGCCCTATAACCACGGATAATAATTTGTGAACCGCTTTGAGACGACCTACGAACTAGGTTGTGATAAAGCGGTATATAAGATCCTCCAACTATTATCATTATTATTATTATTCAAACAAGAGACCCAGAGGGCCTGTATCGCTCGCCTGTTTCTTTTGTTACGTGAAACTGACAAATAGGTAACTTCAGACCAATTTTGGTAACTAGAACACAAGACATTTTAACATCTATTGTTATATATATCATTGTTTGATATTTTAAATTTCAATTTTAAAGCTTTTAACCCAAGTTGACCTTTGACCCCTGACTAGCACTTAACGTTGACCTTTAACCTCATTACTGTAATAAAAAAAAGATTCACACATATGGTCTACATAACATATCCAAGTATCATGACTCTAGATCAAATGGTTTTTAGGATATTGTTGTTTGATGCTTTTAAATATTTGACCCTGTGACCCTGAAAGGAGGTTAAGATCATTTTAACTTTATAGCACTCTATTCCAGGTACCAACTGGCCAAATATAAGTCGTTAAAAAGAAAAAGTTGACGGTGACGGACGGATGATGGACAGACTGATGTCCGATGTCGCAGTACGGCATTAGCTCACATGGCCCTTTGGGCCAAGCGAGCTAAATGTTATCTGACAAAACCAGTTGTGACTCATGATCAATGAGCTATTTCCCAGAGCGAATTTCCCTGGTCAGCCCTGAAAGCTAGAGTATCTGACAGTAATTGATTGGTAAGCACTAGTTAGCTCCCCTTAGTTTTGTTTCAGGTACTGTATAGCATTAGCACATCTGGGTAAATGTACTATCGCTGACCAGGTAGCACAGTCGGCTAGAGTGACAGTATAAAGATCACAAGACATGGGTTCGAATCCTGGTCTGGCTCAGTTGCACATTTACATTTAGAATACTGTTGCTGATTATTTTTTATTTCTTTATTATTTTTTCATAAATCATGTACAAGGTATTCCAAATGCAACCAGAAGTGAAGTGGACAGTATTAAGAAGCACCTCAAGAAGCGACTAGATGCTTACAACAGTGTCACCTGCAATGAACCTATGAACCAAGGTATGTTTTTTAATAGAAACAATATACTCAAGCTAAGGTCATATTGGAAAAACATTTCACATGCATACAGCAATACTTCGTTTTAATGGTAGCATTTTTCCAGAAAAAAATTGGCGTTATGAAGGGGTTTCGCAATAGATTGAGGGAAATGTATAAAGGATTTATTATTAAAACAAGAAAACAGGACATTAAAAGTTCTGGAAGTAAGGAGTTGGCAAATTAAAGGAAGGGCATGCACATTATATCGAGGTTTTACTGTTTTTACATTTTTGGTAGCGATACATGAATTCCTAAAGAATTATACAGTGTTTACAAAACCGAATTCTCAGAGCACGCAAGCAGACAAACCTGTTGGTTAATGTCGCCACTGTACGGGTAGTAGTTGTTTATATAGAGGAGGTTCGCCCACCACGACTTGGAGCATTCGTTCATCATCGACTCCATTTGTGGGGAGGTCCGCCACACCATCACTGGCCCCCTCAGGGTGTAAAAGAACAGCACCCCCCACACCATGATACAGAAGGCATACACTGGTGTCAGTCTGAAAAACATACATCATAATACAAAATACAGAACACTAAAATTTCAAACTCTTTCAGTACATGTACACCTGATGCAAAATATGGCACCAACAAAACCATGACCCGTATTCATGAAACGTTCTTATGCTCAAGCATAGATTTTGTGCTCAAGTCTAATTTCTTGTTCCGTTTATAAAATAATTATAAAATCGGATATTGCCATTAATTTTGGAGACTTGAAGCCGAATACTGTTTTTTTTTGTTTACATTTGATTTTCACTCACGAAAATTTTGGTCTGAGTAAAGAATCAATACCCGGATCTCAAGTCCCTAGACCAATATATCATTCATCTATGAGAAAGTGTTTAAGTACTTTCATGTGATTCAACAGATAAAAAGAAAAACAATCACAGTTCTAAATCGACATGAGGGGGCTCATAGACTCCCGCACATCTATGACCAAGTATTGAACAAAGAGTAGCTGAATCGAGTCATTTGGGTACATATATAACAACTATTGTACATACGCTTACAGCGTAGCCGAATCAACATTGATTTGTGGACAACTTGTACACATTTTACACAGTTGTGTACATATGCTTCACTGGTCATTCGTCTGATGAAGGTGACAGAGTACATACCGTACTAGTCATCGAAATGTCACATAGAAACATTTATTGGTTGTGTAACAAGAAACTTTTCCTAATCCATACTCACCAACCTGAAGATTTTTTTTAAAAAAAAGCACTGAAAGAGTTAAAAGGTGCACGCATCGTTTATAACAAGTATCAAACTTTATAGCCCTTTTCCAAACCATGCTACATGAAAGAAATCAACCAAAATTTTAAAAAAATCCAAAACTCTATATCTGTCATGTTCAACTTTAGCATCAATATTGCTCCATAGTTCCTACCGCCAGAATCGATGGAAGTAGAACAACACCCAGTTAAAGCAGCCAGCGTTTTCACGTCTGTTCTTCAAAAACAAGTAGGTCACCAGCAGGCCACTGTAACAAGAACAAATACAGGAATGTAACAGGGGTAATTATTTTATCAACCCCGATTCACCCCTGAAATTTCATAATGGGCTATTCCAACCTTTGAATCGGATGAGTTCAAACGAGTCCTCAGGGGTGAATGAGTTAAAGCCTCCGCTGGGATTCAAACCTGGAACCTCAGTGGTTTACTAGTCCTAAGCTCTACAGAAAGAGCTACAGAGAAATACTTAGTAAGAAACGGTAAATATTCAACCAGGAAGACATAACCAACAACATGGCTATCAATACTAACAATTAATTATTTTGAACTTAAGGCTGAGAAAATATACAGGAATGCTATTAATTAACAAGCCAGGGAGTCACTTACAGATGATATTGGTGGTTGGGTCTAAAATATTTTTTAAAGTACAGGCTCCAATGAAATATGGTTGTAGGCCTGGGATGTTAGGATAAAAAAGCCCCCAACCCCACCACATACCTTGAAAACACATAATTATTTCTGGATTAAATTTCTGAGATAAGTCCATTCACATTCAAACATGTTTTGATGACGTTAACCCTTTCATCCCTATGTCACTTAGGTAGACTCTACCATGTACGGATGGGGATGAGTCCATTGTGGTCTACAGTGGTGAAAGGGTTAAAGAGTCAAAGGTTTTACATTGTGTAACGTCCTATTAACAGCCAAGGTCATTTAAGTGCCTCCATGTGTGTTGTGTATGTGTACATGTGCGTATGTGTGCAGGAGACAGGGTATGTTGGTGAACTTGCCTCCTTTTGATAGCGCGGATCTGATGCCCACTTTATAGTGTTGTCTCATTGAAATACCATGCTGATTGGGCACAAGTTCTTAATACTTACTAGGGCCTCTCTCAATACGTATTGTGACAGTCCTGAGTACTTTTGGTTTAGTTTGTTTGTTACATCCTATTTGTACTATGGTCCTTTAAATACGTGCCAGGTGTTGGTGGTGGAGGAAAGCCGGGGTTCCCCAAGAAAAACCACCAACCTACGGCCAGTACCTGGCGACTGCTCCGCTTAAGGTCTCGAACCCGCGACCCAGTGGTGGAGGGCTAGAGGTAGCAGAATGTCAGACTCCTTAACCACTTGGCCACCACGGCCCCTCCCCCGAGTACCAAACCTTGTTTGTATTTACCTCATAAAGAAGAAGGTATCCACGGATACCGTTCCATTGAGGATCGCCTGGAAGCTGAACCGCTGTATATACTTTCCTGCTTCTACAACATTATCTGGAACAAATACAAATATTGTTGATGAATGACAAAACTTCTATTTTAAGATGAAAAACACTGAGCTACATCAAAGTTGTCTGTTATTAAATGATGTAGCACCCCTCAGGCTGTAGAACAGTTTTCTGAAGAAAGGGGTTTCACGCCTGTTGGGCTAGCTACAGAACAGTTTTCTGAAGCTAAGGGTTTCACGCCTGTCAGGCTAGCTACAGAACAGTTTTCTGAAGCTAAGGGTTTCACACCTGTCGGGCTAGCTACAGAACAAGATTTAACCTAATAATACAGCAGACATCATTGAAGGTTGCCATTCATTTTATTCACCAACTGTACATGTCTCGCAATCCAAAGTACAGGATTGATACACGCCTCTCGCTCAAAGTTATTAAGGATGATCAATCTCATGCATTGCATACACTACAAAGGGTATCTATAGTTTAAACATATTTTATAATACAAAGATACAAAGGGTATCATTTCACCAGTTATAATTGTGGAGTACCACTTCAGAGCTGTTTTATTTGGAGTATTCTGTCTTCTATTTAGAAGATGAAACAATGGAACAGTAGTTTTTTGGCCTAGAGTTACTTCCCTTGTCTAGGTGTTAATCTGTCTTTTTGATGCTGCAAATATTTCTACTTCTTTGATCAAGACGTTAACAAATTATAGGATTGGCAGAAGATTGGTCCTAATTATAAGTTGGATCCTAGTACTTTCATGTTTTCTTCCCTTGTTAATTGTTTTTTTTAAACTAGAATGTTTTCAGGTCACAAGGGCCNCCCCCCCCACACACACACACACACACACACCCTAATAAGTATTTTTAGAAGCAGAAACCTTGATCTAGACCTTTTTTAAAGTTTTAAAACCACTATTCCACAACTATGTATATCACAATGTATAGGAATCCATGTCAAATATATTCCACTGAAGAGACTTTTATACTTTGAATATTCTCCCTTCAGCGCGCTGTAGAAGATAAAACAACCAAAAAGATTTTTTTCTGGCTTCGAGTAACTTCCCCTGTCTATAATTCTTTGTTGGCTTTGTGGCCCATAAATCAGAAACTCATTTGATGCTGTGTATTTATATATAATTCCTGGTGACCGCATTGGTAGACTGTAGTCTCTATATCTAAAAATCATGACTCCAGCAGTTTTTCTGGGTTTTTTTGTGTGTTTTTTTGTGTTTTTTTTCTATTTTCAAAAATTCTGAATATTAAACAATTATAACTCTGTAAAATGAACTGCAACATATAATTTTTATGCCATTTTGCCTTTGAATAAATCTTATACAATTATGAAAATAGTAAAAAGTGTAATATCAAAGTTTTACTTTCTACACAAACAATGTCCATATTAAACGTGTCGCAACAATTCAAGACCGACTGGTCCCTTTGTCTGCCTATGACTGAGTGAGCGATTTGATTTGTATTTTTTACTTGTAGATATTGTACAAGTGTGACAAAATTGTATATTTTTTATGTCACTCGACCCGAGAAATTCCGCCTATCGACAGAGAGCATATAAACACTGCATCAGATGGTAAAAGATGCAGTTTCACTAGACAACTAGACTCCTACTTGTACAGGTAAAGATGCAGTTTCACTAGACAACTAGACTCCTACCTGTACAGGTAAAGCTGCAGTTTCACTAGACAACTAGGCCCCTACCTGTACAGGTAAAGATGTAGGTTCACTAGACAACTAGACCCCTACCTGTACAGGTAAAGATGTAGGTTCACTAGACAACTAGACCCCTACCTGTACAGGTAAAGATGTAGTTTCACTAGCCAACTAGACTCCTACCTGTACAGGAAAAGATGTAGTTTCACTAGACAACTATAGACTCTTACCTGTACATTTATGTCACTCGACCCGAGAAATTCCGCCTATCGACAGAGAGCATATAAACACTGCATCAGATGGTAAAAGATGCAGTTTCACTAGACAACTAGACTCCTACTTGTACAGGTAAAGATGCAGTTTCACTAGACAACTAGACACCTACCTGTACAGGTAAAGATGCAGTTTCACTATAGACAACTAGACTCCTACCTGTACAGGTAAAGCTGCAGTTTCACTAGACAACTAGACCCCTACCTGTACAGGTAAAGATGGAGTTTCACTAGACAACTAGACCCCTACCTGTACAGGTAAAGATGCAGTTTCACTAGACAACTAGACACCTACCTGTACAGGTAAAGATGCAGTTTCACTAGACACATAGACCCCTACCTGTACAGGTAAAGATGAAGTTTCACTAGACAACTAGACTCCTACCTGTACAGTTAAAGATGCAGTTTCACTAGACAACTAGACCCCTACATGTACAGGTAAAGATGTAGTTTCACTAGACAACTAGACGCCTACCTGGACAGGTAAAGATGTAGTTTCACTAGACAACTAGACCCCTCCCTGTACAGGTAAAGATGTAGTTTCACTAGACAACTAGACGCCTACCTGGACAGGTAAAGATGTAGTTTCACTAGACAACTAGACGCCTACCTGGACAGGTAAAGATGTAGTTTCACTAGACAACTAGACGCCTACCTGGACAGGTAAAGATGTAGTTTCACTAGACAACTAGACGCCTACCTGTACAGGTAAAGATGTAGTTTCACTAGCCAACTAGACTCCTACCTGTACAGGAAAAGATGTAGTTTCACTAGACAACTAGACTCCTACCTGTACAGTTAAAGATGCAGTTTCACTAGACAACTAGACCCCTACATGTACAGGTAAAGATGTAGTTTCACTAGACAACTAGACGCCTACCTGTACAGGTAAAGATGTAGTTTCACTAGCCAACTAGACTCCTACCTGTACAGGAAAAGATGTAGTTTCACTAGACAACTATAGACTCTTACCTGTACATTTATGTCACTCGACCCGAGAAATTCCGCCTATCGACAGAGAGCATATAAACACTGCATCAGATGGTAAAAGATGCAGTTTCACTAGACAACTATACTCCTACTTGTACAGGTAAAGATGCAGTTTCACTAGACAACTACACTCCTACCTGTACAGGTAAAGATGTAGTTTCACTAGACAACTATAGACTCTTACCTGTACAGGTAGATTTAATTCACAAATTAAAGCTATTTGCTTACCGGCAGTCATTGATAAACTGGCAAAGAGGTAGGTATGTCCGAGGATAATCCACCACATACTCAGCACACGCATACCGTTGAGAGAGGTCAGATGGCCGGTGGCGGTGGACGTGGTCAGCAGTTTTCTCGTGTTGGTCAGTATGGAGAAGGATACCATCACCTGACAAATCTTTACTGTGTCACAGAGAAAAAACAATGATTTTTAGCCTGTGCAACACATTCAAAAGTAGACATTTTTTTAATAAAATCTGCATTATAAGAGAATCTAAGACATTGAATCAGTCGATCACCGAGAAATATGGCTTCCAAGGTAATTATCATGTAAGGTTTGAAATTAATCTCTTACTAGTTGCTACAGAACATTATGGAAAGATGTTTAAATGGAAAAAAAGATCTACTTACTACAATCATTATGCTTACATATAATATACTTATCAGAAATAATGCATTAATATAACTGCTCAAACAAAATGGGGGACTAGATTCATCTATAATCAGGAAACTTGGGGGAAAATATATGCTATTCCTTTCAGGGTAACAGAAAATACAAACTTGCAATGGTTGCGATTTAGAATTAATCATTATTTTTTAACAACCAATTCTTAATTATACAAAATTGGACTTGTAAATAACCCACAAAGTGTTTTTTGTATCATAGAAAGGGAGACAATTACCCATGTTTTATGGGAATGCAGGGAAGTACAAAAATTTCTGAGCAATTTTGAAAGACTTTTAAGTGCTCTTACTATTCCTTTCTCACTAAATAAAGAATCAATGATCTTTGGTTTATCACCTATATTAACCACTCTTTTGTTTTATGTTATACATTGTCTTCTGCAATTAGAATAAGTAGCAATCACTGCTGGTGCAGGTATACATGTACAGTGTAAGTCAGATTGGTGTTTTTTAATGTACTTTAAAACTCTCTCTCTCTCTCTCTCTCTCTCTCTCTCTCTCTCTCTCTCTCTCTCTCTCTCTCTCTCTCTTGCATTAGTGATTGTATAAAATCAGATGATGATGAGGATGAGGATGAGGATGAGGATGATGGCGAGGATGAGGATGATGGCGAGGATGAGGATAATTTCAATAGTCGATATGTGTGAATGTGTGGATGTGTGTTGATGTGATGTTCTGTATAATGTACATGTTCTGAAATTATTGAAAAATTAAAAAATTAAATAAAAAAATATATGCTTATATAGATCAATTCTGCTGTATCTGTCTTGGTGTAACTTTTGGTTCATGAATACTAACTTGAAATTTGAAGATTCATTTTGTTTGCAAAAGGTAGAGTTTGCAGTTTTCACTATATAATATGATTGCAGCATTGCATGTTAACAGAAATGTGTCATGTTGGCAGAGAAATAGAATCTATCACTCTAGTGTGTAGTCAGAGAAATAGAATCTATCATTCCAAAAATGTATGTAGAAGAAGAACAAGATGCCCAAGGGCCTTATAAGCGGTCACCTGAGTTATATCATAGGTACTGGTAGCTTTATTTTATTGTTTAGATGTGATGTGGAAATCAGCATGTAAACTAAGTGAAATACAATACTTGTCATGTCATCAATGGATAAGAATTTGAAAATATTGGTAAATGTTCCCTTTGGGGCCCCGCCCTAGCCCCTGGGGATGGGGCAGGAATCCCAATTTTACAAAGTAATACTCTCATTCACCCAAGATGATTCTGACTAAGTTTGAGTAATTTTCTGCTGAAAATGGATAAAATATATACCGAAAAGTGTTATTTCCCTATATAAACTATATTAAACTTTACCCCCTCCCTAAGGGAGAACGGATAGCTCGGGGTCCTGAAATTTACAATTTAAATAAAGCCCCTGATGATTTTCTTTCCATGCAGAGAAAATGAATGTAGTACCTCTGAGTCTGGAAGTGAAAAATTTGGAAATATTGGTTAATTTTCCATTTGGGGCCCCGCCCTGGCCCCTAGGGTTGGGGTAGGAATTTCAATTTTACAATTTGAAACCATCTCCCTCCAAGGATAATTCTCACCAAGTAAAAATAATTTCCTACAAAAAGTTGTCAAAATATACCCAAAAGTGTTATTTCCCTAAATAAACTATAGTAAACTTTACCCCCTCCCCAAGGGAGAACGGATAGCTCGGGGGTCCTGAAATTTACAATTTAAGTAAAGCCCCTGATGATCTTTCTTTCCACGTAGAGAAAATCACTGTAGTACCTCTGAGTCTGTAGAAGAAAATTTTTGAAATATTGGTTAGATTTCCCTTTCGGGCCCCGCCCTGGCCCCAGGGGTTGGGGTAGGAATCTCAATTTTACAATTTGAAACCATCTTCCTCCAAGGATAATTCTCACCAAGTAAAAATAATTTCCTACAGAAAGTTGTCAAAATATACCCAAAAGTGTTATTTCCCTATATAAACTATAGTAAACTTTACCCCCTCCCCAAGGGAGAACGGATAGCTCGGGGGTCCTGAAATTTACAATTTAAGTAAAGCCCCTGATGATCTTTCTTTCCACGCAGAGAAAAAGAGTGTAGTACCTCTGAGTCTGAAGAAGAAGATTTTTGAAATATAGGTTAATTTTCACTTTGGGGCCCTGCCCTGGCCCCAGGGGTTGGGGTAGGAATCCCAATTTTACAATTTTGAAGCCTCATCTACCAAGGATGATTCTGACCAAGTTTGAAAAAAATCCATCCACTGGTTCTTGAGAAGAAGTTGAAAATGTAAAAGTTTACGCACGACGCACGACGGACGACGACGGACGAAAAGCGATTAGAATGTGAAAAAATGTGAAACTTTCTTAATCATTACTCCAGTTTTCTGGTAAAATGGTCCAAATCAACAAATGTCGCGGAATGATGAAATATGGCTTATCTTTGCAGATCAGTTGTCAGTCTCATGTTTTATTGGTTTTATTCCTTTTATTTTTTTACTAAAAAAGATTTCAGCAGAATCTGATGTGGAGAATGGCTTTGTACATTATGTATCTGTGAAAAGTAGATGAAGATCTTGGTATTTCGGAATTGTTAATCTTTTTTAGGTGATCATGAAGTGACCACCCAATCCTGAGTAAATTCTTACAGTTCTATAAATTTTGCAAAAATTTCAGATGATCAAGAAAACTTACAGTCACAATAATTCATTCAGAAATATGGGTGTGTCATTGAAATGTTAACAGAATTTTGATATTTTTCAGATATAAGTATCCAGGAGTCCTAATGAAGGTAAATCACATAAGAATTCCACTGAAGGTTTTTAAAACATACAGTAACATTCTCTAATATCATTTTGGATAAAAGTTTAGTGGGAAGGGTCAGGGAACTGTCGCTATTCAGATAGCTCACTAATTGGTCATAGCAACTGCATTATAGCTGGGGTTCGTGGTTTGAATTCTAGACTGGATCTCTTGCATTTTCACTCTGCTTTTGATTCATTTTGTCATTTCATCATAATTATTTCCTCATAAATGTTCTGCAACTTGTGATTTTCTGTTCAGAAACAATCAATCAAAGCTTTACAAAATGTCTATAAAAAAGTTTCTAATTCATAGCTACAGCGTTTGGCACTGATGTGAGGACATTTTGGATGTGTTACTGTACTTATTTTAGCTCATTCACCCCTAAATTTCATAATGGACTATTCCAAACTTTGAATTGGAAGAATTCAAATGTGTTTTCAGGGGTACATGAGGTAAGAAAGGCTGACATTATGTGAGAGTAACCTCCCTTTACCTCTTTGCCTACTGGGTTGGGGTGGGTCCAGTAGTTGGTCTTGGACCTGCCTCTGGTGTGATGCTGGGTGAGAGAGTAAACCTGTTCTTTCGTTTGCTTCACTATTCTCATTTAAGTTGTCATTGCCACTAAAATCAAAGATCTCTGATTTTTTCCTTTTCTCAGCGTAGGTCATCACAAGGTCAACCAAGGTTCCCATGGCAACCAAGAAAGCGATTATACCACAAACAGCCCTATAAATAAAAATATTAATTTTAGCAACAGCTGATGTCTAATTTTTCATTAATTTTTGTTCAACAAAATTTGTTTTTCTATTCTCTTGCCTTTAATTGATCATATAATTTGACTGAAATGAATTTTTCCATTTGAGCACTACACACCATAGTGCTACTTCAAGATACAACATTTTGGCTTTGCTTGAGATTTTCTTTAACATTGCTGTTTCTCAAATGATCTGCACATCAAGTTCAGTCTTGAGTGCTTAATTCACAACCAACTGTAGCAGAACTGGACTGGGTCATTCACTGGCGACCAGGCTACTCAGTTAGTAGCTACCATCTAGATTTTGGAGGGTCTTGGGTTCAAACCCCAGTTTAGCAGTGCATTTTTCCTTTCCTGTTACATTGCCAAATAAAAATACCCACGGGGTTGGTATAGGGTCTTGTGAGTCTTCAGGGTCGAAGACTTTGTTAAAGGAGGGAGGAATGTAGTGGAACTGGACGGGTCAATCACCATCAACCAGGTAGCTTAATTGGTAGAGCATCAGTCTAGAGTTTACATTTACCTGGCAATAAGACAATGCCTAGTAATACAAGCAATCAATACCTACTGCACTTCAGTAGAAACAACAACACGCTCTCCTATTGTCATATTGTAATAGTAAGCCCACCTCCTACTTGGAGTCAGAGATTTGTTTTGGCTTCCAGGGCTGTTTACAGGATAAATATGGTAGTTTATTCAGCCATATTCATTTTCATTTTGTAAAACACTTTTTCATGATGCATTGCATTATTTCAAAACCCTTAATTTGAATATTTAATGAAATATAAACTGAATCTATACATTATCAATACAGTTTTTCTTAGTTTATTTTTTCTCCCAAATAGGCAAATGCATGCTGTTTCTCCTAGCTAAAAAGTGCCTTATTTTCCCAAAATGACCAAAAACTGAGGAATATATTCTCAATTTCAGTACAAATAATGCTGTATTTTCCCAATTCATAAAGGAAAAATCAAGGTAACAAAAACATTGCAATATTCTGTAATTCAAAGTAATTTTATCTAAAATAATTTGCCCATGATCAGTGATTGCAATCTTTTCTCTTTCCTATTTCCTCTCTTATTTTTTCCCTCGTTTCTCTTTCCCTAAGCTTCCTTTCCCATACTTTTAATTTTGTGCCCTAAGTTTCCTTTCCCATACTTTTAATTCTGTGCCCTAAGTTTCCGTTCCCGTACTTTTAATTCTATGCCCTAAGTTTCCTTTTTCGTACTTTTAATTCTGTGTCCTAAGTTTCCTTTCCCGTACTTTTAATTCTGTGCCCTAAGTTTCCTTTTCCGTACTTTTAATTCTGTGCCCTAAATTTCCTTCCCTGTACTTTTAATTCTGTGCCCTATGTTTCCTTTCCCGTACTTTTAATTCAAAGTCCTAAGTTTCCTTTCCCGTACTTTTAATTCTGTGCCCTAAGTTTCCTTTCCCGTACTTTTAATTATGTGCCCTAAGTTTCCTTTCCCTTACTTTTAATTATGTGCCCTAAGTTTCCTTTCCTGTACTTTTAATTCTGTGCCCAAAGTTTCCGTTCCCTTACTTTAAATTCTGTGCCTTAAAGTAAGTTTATCCATAGCCCCTTTAAGTTTGGTAATCATACAGAGATACTGGTCACATGTTATACATACAAAGCAGCTTTGGCTCCTGTAGTAAGCAACATTGGTTCCTCACACGACATATAGGTCTGGANTGTGCCCTAAGTTTCCTTTCCCGTACTTTTAATTATGTGCCCTAAGTTTCCTTTCCCGTACTTTTAATTATGTGCCCTAAGTTTCCTTTCCTGTACTTTTAATTCTGTGCCCAAAGTTTCCGTTCCCTTACTTTAAATTCTGTGCCTTAAAGTAAGTTTATCCATAGCCCCTTTAAGTTTGGTAATCATACAGAGATACTGGTCACATGTTATACATACAAAGCAGCTTTGGCTCCTGTAGTAAGCAACATTGGTTCCTCACACGACATATAGGTCTGGACAGGCTCCTTTGCAATAGCTGTAAATATGAAGCATGATTTTTTTAATAATCGATTGCGATGTCACCTTGTGACATTTTGTAGAGATTAACTCAAGTTAGCTCGGTAACAATTTATGTCTTACTGTTAATTCCTAACTACTGTAAAATCAAAATATTTCGTGGGACATTAAATTTCATTTATTTCGTGGATAACAAAAATCCATGAAAATAAATCCCTGCGAAAACATAAATTTGGTATATGATATAGATGGGGGAAATCAGAAATCAGCAAAATATAATGTCCTTGAAACAGGCTAGTGTATGAAAACACGAAATTTTAACCCGATGAAAATAAATGATTCTACAGTATGAATAACAGAGAAGAACTTTGACTTTCCTAAATCACTTAAGCTACAGATTTTAGTCATCATGTGATGAATGCATGGATGATTTTTAAAACTGAACTGTCTTCCAAATATTTGTTACATTCCACAATCCATAGGGATATCATTTTGTGGTGTTTAAAATTGATGATCATGTTAGCTCAGTCAAAATCTAACCTAAAATCTAAGTCAATGATGCAGAAAATATAGGTCACAGTGACCTAGGTTTGTCCCATACTTCACAGTCTCTCGTTTTAGCCAGGTCAAACTAACTTTGTCATAATCCATGTACACTTGGACATTTAATATGGCTTCTTCCGGGTTTTGACATCTGAAATGTTCAGAAAAACATGTTTTCTTTTTATGTCATACTCTGGTTAATATCATGTTTTCCCCTGACAAATGAGAAGTGAGATTTAGCAAAATCTACTGTATTACTAATTTTTAAAAATGTTCACATGAGGTTTAACTTACCATAGATAACGTAAACCCAAATGTTGAGGTCTTTGGCTGTGCAAGAGTGAGGCACACATACACCATTCATCAGGAGTCGACCTGGAATCTGAAACACTCAAACAAAGATGGACTTCAAACAGTTTCAAATCCTTAAAAAAACTTCTATTTTTGCTATCTTCTATGGATACCTGTACTAATATTCTAGCAAGTGCCCTAAAAAGTAAAAAAAATAAAAAAAAATCTTTTAAGATTCTTACTGATAAATACATGAAATAAAAAAAATGCTATTGTTATTACAACCTTTAATTCTTAATATTTTTATTAACAATGGAGTGATTCCTAAATGTTGCCATCACGTTACATGCAGAAGAAAAATGATCTGTGCCTTTAGATCTGCTTGGAGGACAAAATAACGACCTGAAACTATTGATATATTATCGATTTTAATGGAAAATCGATCAGTATGCCCTTTCCGATTCCAATTATCAATTACAAATTCCATAATCAGTTCATAACTTAAGTCAAGTGCAAAATACATATATATGACATAAAGATTGCATTGAAAGTAATTTATTTTTATGTTTTTTATTGTACTTAATGTAGATAAAAGTCAAAACTGGACAAAAGTTTGTTGTAATTCAGACATTCGTTATAAAAAAACGAACCTTATGTATAACAGCTCTGTCGATTGATGTAAAAATATTTTTTTCAGTTTATTGGGGTATTCAGTCTTGTAAAACTGAAAATATTATAATCGCTCTACTTAACTTCTGAATAAACACTCTAATAATCAATTTTGATTTTAAACCAATTGACCATCTCTTCCCCAGACTTTCTTTTTGGACATTTTATCAATAAAAGGGAAATAACCACTGCCAAATAAAGTGTTGTGAAACTAGACTGGGTTGGTTACCAACAACCAGGTAGCTCAATTGGTAGCTAGAGCATCTGTCTAGAGTTCGGAAGGTCCCAGGTTTGTATCCCTGTCTGGCCATGCATTATTTCTATCCTATTTCAATAGTGAGTCAACTTTGACACAAACAATGAACATTTTAATTACAATCATACCCCTGTTGCAGTTGCACCCATACAGTATTTTCCACTAATCTGTCGTCCTGTACGATTGTTAGCCGGCGACAGGATATCGATACATTCATCATAGCTACCAATCCATGCCAGCTTGCCCTGCATCACTCCACTAGGTAGCTTTCCAGCAGAGTCAATCACTGAAAAGAAATTATGCTTCTAATCATTCTATCCCAGTAACTTTGGTACTTCGGCTTTGTGTAGTAAAATAATATAATTATGATTTAAATTTCCAGCGGGTCAAATATGATGAGGAACAACCTGACATTGATTTTTTTTGGGTGTAAATTGCACACAACAGTTACTAGATCCTTCAATGAGGGTTATCAGATAATAGCAAATGAAAATAACCCTGTAAAGCTACGGGGTACATTCAAACATAACAAAGAGGAATAACGTGATAAGGAGTGTATCAGAGTGCATAAATCTGATGCTACAAATTGACATATAGCCTGAGTTTCAACTGGCCCTGACACCAGACTTAGACATTTTGACATCTGTCAGTCAAAATGCCTCTGTCTGATGTCAGGGCCAGCGTAAACTCGGGCTAATAGACCCATTTACCCGTCTTCGCTAGCCAAAGGTTACAATCCAGTCTTCCTACTCTAGGTAGATCGTACTGGATCGGAACCCTTGGCATTGACTATATGCAGATACAGCTAGGCCTGTATGTTAACTTAAGTGCTAGTTTGTACTTACTCTGTTCAGCATACAACTGCCCTTGACTCAGATCACTAAGAAATTGGAGGGTGTCATTACAACACTCGGCAGATATCCCCTGAAAGCATATTGAAGCATCACCCGCATTTGATGGTTCCGAATACTGTCGAAACATTTCCGCCAAACCTCCTTGTTTCATGTAAGAGTTCATATTTGTCATCATATCATTTTCGTGACCTCTTGAATATAGCGGGACTTTAATCCCGCCAATATTCATTGTCTCGAAGTCTGGGTGCTGAAATTGCATGTATGCGTCCACGCTGTGTACGTAAACAAACACTGGCAGCAGCCATTGGAGACAAAACGAAAGTAAAGAAAACTGACCCGTGCCCATATCTCCGGTACCTTATCAGCGTGTCAGTGTTATGTAAAGAAGTGTATCACTGTTGATAAAGTAGACACACTTGACAGCGCTCGATTACAAGTGTTCTTTCAGTGCGATAAAGCGTAAATCAATCATGTGACCATCAGTAAAGAATTACCCTCACGATCACAAGACATTTCCGGAAACAAGATAAGCATACCAAAATTCGAAGCGAACAAATTGGAACTTTACCGGATATGGGGAAAACGTATCACACGCACAAATCGATATATAGACCTAAGAGAGATTGATAAAAATAAGAATATTGATTTAAATTTTTATCTCTCTAAAACATTTTATTATTCAACGAAAAACGTCTGTAGTGAGGATTGGATTCTTGAGAGAAAAAAGGCAAGGCTCCGTCGTTGTTCCAGCCCTTACTCGGTCCTTCCTTTGTCGATCTTGGCCACAGTTACGGTTCTTTCTTTTTTCAATTATTGCCATTGGATAGTGTTTGTGAATGCATTTTGCTTATATTTTGAACAAAAATCTGGGTAGAAGTACACAGGTTGTTGGTCTTTACATCTATAAACAGTAACATATATCTATTCTTAGAAACTATAAATGAAATGGACTTCAAAAATCATGACCCAGATCAATTTTGGACACAGAAAAAAAGTATAATGTATTACAATCCTTTAGTCGTCAGCTCGTCATATAAAAATACAGTATATCCCATTGTATCTTCATTCAGGGGTGTTGCCCTAGTTGCCCGCTCAATTCAGTTCTGTACAATTTCAATCAAATTTATTACCAAATGCACATTGCATATAGGCGTACGCGTACAGAAATATACATATTGATCAATACTTTACAAATATCTCGTACAATGGCGGAGAACATATGCAATAGATTCAATTCCATACATAATAATTACAAATTCATGAAATAGTCATAAGTTGGGGAAAACTTTAAGCTTTTCCTAAGGTAACTTAGCGGACTCTTATGAAGCATAATTTAGTTGTTTATGAAATAATACAAATAAAGCCTTAAGCTAACCAATTTCTAGGAAATAACAAAACTTCGAAGTCAATCATACAAACTCAATATGAAGGTAGAACGATTACTATATATTATATAATGAAAGGAGATTATAACTCATTGTGAAGTAAAAGACATAGATCTAAATCACTTTATACAGTAACAAAACGTTTATAGCAAGACTTTAATATAGCGTTGTACAGTGTTAGCATAGTTAAAACCGTGTACAATCTTTTCTGCTGTTGTAAAAGATAAGCTCTGACATCTGAATAAAAATCACATACAATCAGAAAATTCAGTACAGTTACCTCTGCTCACGAAAGTGATCATCGGATACATTCAACTATTATTAGCTAAATCATTATTCTATGGTTTTATATATATTTACCGTGGTACATTTAATGTTGTGCATGTCCTAAATTTACCATCGTTTATTATTTTTTCATATTATTCCCAAAAAGAGATTGGACAGGAGTGCATCACGTGTCCACCGATAAAAACCGATATTGACTTGGAGCGCGTGATTTTTGTTAAAGGACTGGGTGTTTCTAAAAATAGAATTATGACGTGTCTCCAAACGAACGCATCATCCCGCTACCGTAGATTTTTGTTGTGATTTTTTTTTCAGATTGCTAACATTACTCTTTTGAAAATAATAAAACAATTGTAGCCTTTGACTTCGGTTGACAACTGGATTTATCGACCCGAGAAAAGATATATTAACCTCGGACTGCGTCCTCTGTTAATATAACTTTTCTTGGGTCGATAAATCCAGGTATCGACCTCAGCCAAAGGCTATAATTGATTAATATTTTAGAATTTTGTATCATTAAAATGAAGCACGTTCATTTCCTTTGAACAGCATTCCTTTGCATAGTTATAGCTCTGTCTCGTCAGAGAAGCTTACGTTTCACAAGTTTCACACGTTTATTGTTTTTCCTCAGATATATTAAAATGTACAACATGAGGTATCAGAGTATAATAATACACACGTGATGACAAAATGGACGGCAAGTTCACAAAACAGTAACCATGATACATATTACAACAGTTTGTTATTTTTTTTCCAACAAAAGACAAATTCCATTTAATACTGTCGTGTTACAAAATGACAACAGACCACTCATTTAAATTTGAGACGGATTTTTTCTATTATACAGAGGAATATATTTTTCTCTAATCTCTACAATTATTAAATTTGTACATTTGAATAAATAAATGAAATTCGTCCCCTAGATCATTTTTACATAGAGTGCATTTTCGGTCTTGTTTTTCAATATTAAGCCACCTACCCGTTTCAATGGGAATTTCATATTAAAACATCTAAATTAACATAATATTGACCTGTTTTTTTCAGAAAGGCTCAAGTTCATGTTTCCTCTTAAAGTTACCATAGAGTTCACCTCGAGATGAATTTTGAATGCCATCTTTGTAAAAAAAATGATCAATAAAAATGTGTTTGACAGTGTTTTTAATATAATATTTACTTATAGGTTCCTGTTTTATAGAAATAGAACTTTGTCCGACTTCATCACAACACATTTTTATATATTCTAACCATTTAAACTTACACAAATTATTGGCTTGAAGTTTGAACATTAGTCTATACATATGGCAACTAAGTTTAGAGGTATTCATTAAGAGTTAGCTATAAAAAGTCATCATTCTCAACTTAACAGCTATCTCAAGAGGATATTGACCTAATTCACCATAAATCATAAAGTTTGGAGTCGTAGTTCGCAAGCCCTAAATTCGTCTGCAAAATTTCAAATGAGTGTGTTCTACTATTTTAATATTTTGGTAACCCCATATTTCAGATCCATATAACAATATAGGACTAACTAGGGTATGAAATAATTTAAGTTGCAAGTCTATTGGAAGATGTGGATTTTTTATATTACGATACACAGAAAAAATGGATTTTGGGCTTGCTCACAAAGTTTCCGTTTACATTTCAAAAAGCTACCATTGTAATTAAATGTCACACCCAGATAGCTAAAATTGTCCACTTCTTCCATAACTTAACCGTTAATTCTAAATACATGGTTATTATTAGATTTGCGTTTACAGAATACAAGAATTTTTGTTTTCTTCACATTATTTTCTAATTTCCATATATCACAGTATTTCTGAAAAACTTTAAGAGCATTTTGTAAACCTTCAGCAGAATCAGAAAGAAGAATTGTATCGTCAGCGTATAATAGGACGAAAAAATTCCACAAACATATTCAGCTCAGTCTGAAATTTATCTTTCAATTATTCTAAGGGGAGTGAACTATTGGCTCTAAAAAGTCTTAAGCCTGTTGTTCATAATATGTGTAAACAGTTTCCCGAGACAACTTATCAGTGTGATACCCCGGTAATTGTCTGGGTCTTTAGGGTCACCCTTTTTCTTATAAATTGGTTTTATTATCCAAATTTTCCAGGATTCAGGGGACACTCCAGAGTTAAAAATAAGGTTATACAGTTTACATATTACTAGACGTGCTTCATTAGGTAGATATTTGATATGTTCCTTCAAAACCTGATCGATACCCGGTGACTTACCACTTTTGAGATCCTTGATACTTTTATTTACTTCATCAGGCGTAATTTCCCTATTTAGATCATCATTTTAGATCATCATCATCATCATCATCATCATCATCATCATCATCAGTATCATCATCATCATCATCATCATCATCATCATCATCATCATCATCATCGTCATCCTCATCATCATTGTTATTTAACTCTTTGAAAAAGTTACATAGGACATCTAATGAAATTTTATTATCTTTGTTTTCGTCATAGAATTTTTTTTAAGAATTTTCCGAAATTCTCCTGGATTGTGTTTGGCCGACGCGCGTAAGTTGTGCGCACATTTCGATATATATATTCTTTAAAAATATTGTTTAATTGTTTCCGATATGATTTAGCTCATTTGTTCATTCCATTCTTACTTTCATTACATTTGCTTAAGCTGTGCCTTGATCGGTTCTTGTTAAATGCAGATCTAGTAGTTTTACATTTCTTGTCAAACTATGGTTTATTTTTAGATGTTACTTTCGGTTTTGGCCCGTTACCAGCGCTTACATACGTTTTAACCCCCCTAGTTTTCCGAGCCGTGTCTAGCATAATTTTACAAAATTTTGAAACTCTTTCATCAGCTTCATTTTTTTCAACAAGATTGTTGTTACTCAAAGTATCAATCCAGTCACTTATTTCATTCATTGCATGTATCACATCATCAATCGACTCTCAGTATATTGGTTGTTCTTTGGGCTTATAACCAATACAAAATTTCAATCGACTGTGAACATCTGAGAACATTGGATTATAATCACAAATTTCAAAATCAACAATTAACTATTAGCTATATCAACGTTAAACAGTAGGTAGTCAACGACACTCACTCCTTTACAGGTGACCTTACCAACACTTTTGTCTTTGTGGAGACGACCATTGCCTATGAATAACGAACATCGTTTGCACATTCTCTTAAGCCATACTTATTAGCGCGACCTTTATCTTCGTTAACACTATCGATAGACACATTACAGGACACCAGCCTCTGGTAAGCGTGGATATCCATTTGTGTCAATATTAAGGATATCAGTAAGGTCCTCATCAGGTAAAACATAATGACCATTTGTTTGGTACGACCATTAAAATCACCCACCAACAGAACATTTAAGGTGTTTATAGAAAAGCTGGCTAATTCATTTTCTATTTCAGAAAAAGAATCCTCTGATGCTTATACAGACACTTCCGTAGGTACATGCACACAACCCACTAGAGTACAATAGTTATCTATATCTAGTTTAACCCACTGTACACATTCGGAATCAGATTAAATGAATTTGACAATTTTCATCAGACGAGATTTGATTATTACCGCAATTCCCCCAGACCTGTGCTTCAGTTTAGATCTATTTTTCAGGTGATAACTATAACCGCTATGGTCCTTTAATTCATCAAACTCATCAGTTTTAGACTCAACGCATACAATTATATCATGTTCAGTTATCAAGTCATGAAATCAAGGTTCAACAATGATAGGCGGGGCTTGGTTCATATGCATGTGCTGTGATTGTCTTTTTTCTTTAAACATATATCATTGTCAAATAAATTGGAACAAGTGATTGAATTGGGCAAAAGTTAATTTACAACTTACCATAGTCTTCTCC